CCAGACATCTCGGCGGCTGTCTCCATCCTCTCTCGCCGTATGCAGCACTTCGGCATGGACCATTGGAAGGCTGCCAAGCACCTTCTTCGCTACATCAAGGGCACCTTGTCCTACACCATCAAGTACGCCGCCACTGGCGACACCAGCAACGGCAGCACTGCCGACGGCGTGCTCTCAGCGTACTCGGATGCGTCGTTCGCCTCCGACGTTGACACGCGACGTTCCCGCACGGGCTTCGTCGTCTTCTGTTCCACGGGCCCCGTGTCCTGGAACTCCAAGCTGCAGGCCACCGTAGCCACAGCCTCCGCCGACGCGGAGTACATGGCTCTCGCAGCCACCGCACAGGAACTCATGTTCCTTCGCCAACTCCAGGAGGAGCTCACCGGCGCCGTCCTGTGCGAGCCCACGCTCGTCCACACGGACAACCAGCCGGCGCAGCGCGTTGCCGAACACGCCGCCTCGCGCATGCGGCACATCCTCGTCAAGTACCACTACATCCGCGAGTGCGTCGACACAAAGAGGATTGTGCTGAGCTACCTCGCCACGGAGCATATGATCGCAGATCTTCTCACGAAGATCCTCCCTCGGCCCAAGACGGCTCAATTCAGCGCACGCCTCTTCTGCCTTGCAACAGGCAGCAAGAAAGCATCCACATCATCTGGTCTCACACGGGTCGCCGCTCACGCTGCATTCACCAACGACGTGGCAGCCCCTGACGGTTCACAGGCACCACAGGCCATGTGCCTTACACCAGGCCTCGTCTGACACGCCCTTCCTGTCCGTCATAGGGCCTCTGATCAGCGAGGACCACAGGCACGCCTTCCACGGGCCGGTTCTCTGCGCTGACCGGGCACCACAGGCACCATAGATGATCCTCTTCTGCGACTCTTTCCACGAGCGCCTCATTCATGCAATACTTCTCCTACACTGTGCCTTCCTCAACACGCACGCACCAAGTCACTTCCTACCATGAGCGCGCCCCAACCAACGTCCTCACCACAATACACACTACATTTCTTTGAGACTTCTGTTCACGTTCAACGACGCTTTACTCGATATGCTGACTCGAGAGTTCCCACACACTCAGACCAATGCAGATCATCAAGGGGTGCAACGCCACGGTAACTGTCTAAGATCATGTTGTCACGAATGCATATCACATGGCGCATGTCTAAGTTCTCAGGGGGATGCACAACAAGGAGCAACATCTGTCGCTGTCGCCCAAGCTTGAACACGGTACGACGAGGTCGGCGCCCACGCACAGCTGTCACCGTGTACGAGTTGGTACTGAGCCACTCCAGCGGGATGTTGAGTGACCAATTCCCTGGTGCTCTCTTCGGCTTGCCCAAGCCAGCGAGCGACCAACCGTTCCGGCGGTACTGGCGACAATACCGCAGACGGATTTTCTCAAACGAGGCAGGCGAAGCAACCACGCCCGAAAGCAGGTTGTTCACAGCATGCAATGCGCATCGAGTGCCTACTTGCTTCTGAACTAACCCATCACCTGCCCAGGACATCCCCACTGAGGATGGCCGCTTAACGGCGGTTTTCTTGGGATTGCTCATCTGCGGTTGAGGTGAACTCGCACACACAGCAGCTGTTCTGCGACGTTTCTTTGTCTTGGCCCACTTGAGCAATTTTCTCACGGATATGGTTTTCGGTTCAGTTTGCACACTTGTGGGTTCTGTCTTTGTACAATTTTTTGATTCGAATGAATTTTTATTCTATTTCGATTCGATGCACAATTAACGATTTTGTGCCGCCAAACATTTGAATCGAGCATGTCACTGCAAGTCACCACAGGTCACTGATGGAGGACTTCACGGGTACTGCACACAGCAGCTCTTCACTGGAGGGACTCGACACCAGCAAGCACGCCACTGCGGGGGAGTGTTGACATCACTGTTCCAGTGTCAATGCTTGCTGAGTCAGCAAATTCTGCTGTAAACGTTTCTGTGCACGTGCGCCCAGAAACGGGCGTTTCTGGTTGTTTTGCCACGTGGCACTTCTCTCTCTCCTCCAGTTTTCTGTCTATGTGTGAGAGTGTCTCTCAGTTCATGTTCATTCATCCTACATCCTTGTTTGCTCCACAACTCAAGTAAACACACACAACTCTCTCTTGCCAAGACAATCTCCCACACAACACACAGCACACTCTGCACACACAGCACACACAGCACACACACACACACAAGTCTCCAACAACAGCACCACCAGCATGAACTTACAACATCTGTGTCTGTGGTTGTGGTTGCTGCGTCTGTGTCCATGTCTGTGTCTGTGTCAGTGTCGGCGTTTGTTTGCGCATCTAGGTTTGCCACCGTGGCTAATGCTGTGTGTGCTGCGGCAGTGACTTGATCCATGGTTGCTGAGTCCGACGACTCTGCTGCTGTGTCTGTGTCCGTGTGCGCGTGTAGGTCTCTGCACGCTGTAGCTGTGTCTGTGTCTGTGTCCGTGTGCGCGTGTAGATCTCTGCACGCTGTGGCTGTGGCTGTGTCTGTGTCTGTGTGTGTGTCTGGGGTTGTCGCTGTGTCTGTGTCTGTGTCTGTGTCTGTGTGTGTGTCTGGGGTTGTCGTTGTGGTGGGTGGTGGCTCGCGTGGGGTGGTCCGCTTCAGGAGGGTCGCGAGACCCCTCACTGAAGCGGGCCGTTTCCCGGACACTGAGCATAGCCGTGGCCGGGCTTGCGGCAACGGAAGCAGGCGCCCTCGGCCATCAGTCGCTGGCGCTCCTCCGGTGTCAGCGGTGGCAGGCGCTTGCGTGGTCCATCGTCACGTCGCGGGGCCTGCTTGTTTGCCTGGTACTTGGAGGTGCCGCTTGAAGAGACTGACGTGCGGCGCGCGAAGTGGGTCCCGGATACATCCTTGGCTTGGTCCGCGTCCTCGGCGATCTTCATTGCTTGCACCAGGGTCGATGGGCTGGCCACCGATACCACTTGTCGAATCGTCGGGTGGAGTCCCATCAGGTAGAAGGCCAGCAGAAAGACCTCGCTTCGCTCCGACAGTTGGTCCGCCACGCGGTTGAAGTCTCCGTTGTAGGCTTGAACGTCCTTGGTCTGCCTGATGGCGCGGAGCTCGAAGACCAGCTGTAGTTGTCGAGATGGGTTGTGGAAGCGGTCGACGATCTTGTTCACGAGGTCGTCCGCCTTGACTGCGGAGTCGCTCATGAACTCCTTGGCGAAGGACTTGGCTCGTCCGTCGAGTTGCAGGTAGAGGTGGAGCTTCACTTGGCGGGCGTCCATCGTCGCGGAGGCGACCTCCAGGAGGAGCTTGGTATCGTCGGCCCAGTCGTGGACGTCCTCGGTCTTCGATCCCGAGAACTTGCGAAAAACGAAGTCCATCTTGTCGTGTGTCGAAAGGCACGGTTGAGCGAGAAGTTGATGTGGTCGGCTGTGGGTGGGTATGTGGTGTGTTGTGGTTTGCAAAGGTAGGGTCTCAATCACTCAATGGTCGGTGGACTTTGTGCAATCGCTACCATGTAAGCTCTTTGGTTGTGTCAGTGTACTGTGGTCGATGTCGTGGTCAAACAGTAAAACAAAAGAATGAACAAGACGAACGTGACACTCGCACAAAAGGGCATGAGCGGGTGCACAGAAAGAACAAGCAGGGAGAAACACGAGTACGAGAGCAAAAGCCGTAGGGGCTTTAGACAAAGGAAAACGAAAACAAAACAAAGGAGGGTTGCCACGTAGCGTGACAACAAACAAGCCAAGAGCAAAGGATACTGCTAAGAGCAATGCAACACTGCGGAGCAATGTAATTTGGGATGAGGTGGGAGAAGTGGTGAAAGACATGCGACAAGGCTCGGTCACGAAAGACGTGTGAAAAGAGTAGTAAAGAAGTGGGACAGAAAAGCACTGTCGACAGAGTCGACAAGTGCTTACAGTTCTGCTGTGAAGCCACTGAGTCGATGCGCGCGCGTGTGTGTGGGGCTTTCTGTGCTGCTTCTCCCTGTGCATGCGTGCGTCGTGCTGTTGGTCCTTCTTTCCTCAGTTACCTATCGCCTCCTTAACGCCACCCAGCGTTTCGCTTTACCCGTGTGAAGGTTGCAACAAGGCAACAGGCACAGCTTGTGTAACGTGTCATGCGCCATGCCTCCACATGTCACAAAAAACCAGCAAACCCTCAAGGCCATTCCACTCACAGTCTAACAAACAAAACACAAAGCACTCAAGTCAGCTCAGGACGACGAGAGCGGGCGCCACAGAGTCGACGTACTGCTGGGCGTTCCGAATGATGGAAACCTGTAGCCCGAACGCAGCAACAACAAATGATGTGAGCAGTGCTCATGCACGATGCAGAGGAAACTTCGCCCACCAAACACAATCACGCTCTGAAGAGCCGTGCGCACGCGCCGTACCTCCTCTGCAGTGTGCGATCTCTGTCGGTACTGCGCTGCATCAATCAAGCTCTTAAGCTTGGCCACCTCATGCTTGTGTTCCATGGTCACTGGGCCTGAAGGCAGTGGTGTTGGGGACAGTGGTGTGTCATATCGCAGTGTGACCTTGGCAGGGTGTACCGAGCCCATAGGTACCACTACACACCACCACACCACCACCACCTTTGACACAAAGCATTCATTGGCACCATGCCCCGCCCTTCACCCTTCGTCGCACACGCACGTACCAAAAGCCCGCTGGCATATCCGTGTACTCTGCAAGCAGAGAGCAAGGGCACCGGTAAAGTCGTGCGCCACGTCCACACCCACGCGGGCCAACTTGTCAAACACACCCTGCCATTAGCAGTGTGCGGCAGGGCGGAATGAAGGGAAGAGGAGAGGACGTGGAGGGAACGTGGATACACACGACGGCAAATGGTGAGTGAGGGCCAATTTTGGAGTGCTTGGCAGACACACAGGCAGGCTGGCAGACACACGGACACACACACACACACACACACACACACAAACATCACACACACAAACATACACGGACACACACACACACACACGCACACACAGACACGGACACACACACACACACACACGCACACAGACAAACACATAGACACAGACACACAGACACACAGACAGACACACAGATACGCAGACAGACACATGACTGGTGTACCGCGGCGATGGTGCAGGTTGGGGCAAGGTGGGATGCAAGGCACTCGGCGTGGTGAATGGCGGCACAGCGGACGTCGTGGGAAAGGAGGTTGCCCGTGAGGGCAGAGGAGAGGTGGTGTAGGCACGTGGACAACTCATCACGCAAATCGCAGCCGCACGGCAGCAGCGGGCCACTGTCATCGGACGCTGCCACCACCCGCACAACCACCTTGCCATCACCACCCTGATCACCACCCTGATCATCACCGTCACCGCCTTGATCGGCATCAGCTGCAGGCACGACGGCCAGCACCTTGAAGCCGCCACCTTCACTGCGGTCGCCGCTGCTGATGAGGAGTGCACGAAGGAGAACAGAGCGGAGGGAGGTCAGGTTGACAGCACCGGCGACCTCGGCCCATCCATATGCGGTTGCGCATCTTCGGCACCGCAGCGCCACTGGACGGCATTCCAGCAGCGACGGAAGGGGAGCGCGAAGCGTAGAAGATGTGGTGGTGGTGTTGGTGGAGGAGGAGGAGGGTGTGGTGGCAGGTGCCGGCGGCTGCCGCGGTTGCCCTTCATCATCACCGTCATCATCATCATCATCATCGTCATCATCAGCAGCATCATCGTCAGGGTTGTCATGGCAGCTGTCCGCAGCATGGGCAGCAGTGGCGCCGGGCCGGGGAGTGGTGTCAAGGGCCATCACGTCGGCTTCGAGTTTGCAGGTTGCGCATGCGCATTCAAACCCAAACTGTTGCAGACACGCGCGCCGCCGCTCAACAACCGGCGACACACACGCCAGTGGACCATACGAGATGCACACGCCCACGGGCGTCGTTGCTGCTGTTGGTGCTGTGTGGGCGGGGGCGATGGGACGGGCGGCGATGACGCGGAGGGAGCGACCAGCAAACGATTGCATTGCGTTTGGCCGGCAGTCGTGGTTGAACACACTCGAGCGCAGGAAAAGCGCACGCGCAACGCTGCTGTGCTGCACTTCCTCTGTACCTGCTCCGCCTTCACCACCGCCACGGTCGTCTTTATTGTTGGTGTCATGAGTATCGTCACCTCGTTTGTCGTGCTGGCCACGCTGGGCCACCACCAACCGCTTGTCGCTCAACAGCGGGTGGGCGAAACCAGGAAGGACCGGCACTGTCTTGTCGCTGCTTGATTTGCTGCGTTTTCTCACCATCGTCGCTGTCGTTGATGCTGTTGTTGTCGGCGTTGTTGTGGGGACTGAGAAGCTGTTGCAGCGCAGCACACCAATGACGTGGCATAGCACCAGCAGCTGCTGTCGATCATCACCATCACCGTCACCGTCATTGTCATCCACATCATCACTATCATAATTGTCATCATCAGCGTCAGCATTATCACTGTCATCACCATGCTTCGGCCACTGCGTTGCAGTGTGATACAAAGAGCAGCCATCGCCGCCTGCACACCCATGCCACGCCTGCCACTCGCGTGTGTTCTGCACGGCAGCAGCAGCCGCTTTGCGAACGGCGTCCACGCCGAGTGCTGTGCGCAGCAGTGGGAGCAGGCTGCTCATATCGGCCAACGCTCGATGGTGGTGGTGGTGGTGGCTGGGGCGCGTGTCGGCGTCGACATCAGTGCCGTGCGTGTGTGCCCCATCGGAGCAGTGCGACTGCAGCCGCCAGAATCGCTCTTGTGCCGATGATGATGATGATGATGATGATGATGATGATGATGATGATGATGATGATGATGATGATGATGATGATGATGATGATGATGAAGGGTAGAGGGACGCGAGGGTGACGGCAGCGTGGAGAACTTGCAGGTGGCGGTCGTCTGCTGGTGGCGACGAGAGATGTGAGAGCTCCTCCTCCACGGAGAGCACCTGCAACGATGGCAGTGGTGGTGGCGGCAGTGGTGAGCTGATGACGATGTTGTGTTCTCAAGCGCGTAAATTTGCAAGCAAGCAAGCAAGCACACACAGCAACACACACACACACACACACACACCCACCCACCCACCCACACACCCACACACCCACACACCCACCCACACACACACACACACACACACACACACACACGTGCGCATACATGCTGCGCAGCTGTGCGACAGCGTCGCGAGCAGAGGAAGGCGACTGCAGGTCGGCCGATGGGAAACAGGCACACGCGCCGCCGCCAGCACCACATGCACCGCCCCGCTCGCTCCTCCGGCCTGTGTGTATGTACGTGTGTAAGAGAGAGTGTGTAGCGTGCAGAGTGTGTTTGGAGTGTGAAGTGTGTGTATGTGGAGTGTGTTTGGAGTGTTGAGGGTGTGTTGAGGGTGTGTATGTGCAGATCATCGGCATGTGTTGCCAAGGGGTCAATCGTACATGTGCACACGACGCAAGGCATGCGCACAACATGTTGACCAACTTGAGTACGCCACTGAAGGCTTGTTCTTGCACGAGGAGGGTGCCTGCGTCCAAGCGCTCCACGGTCTATGTGTTGGTGTTTGGATATGATACATACGTCAGCGTAGAACAGATGGTGTGAGCGCATGAGCAAACAAACAGGTCATAGGTCGACGGACAGGTGTGCTGCATGCACACCCTCTCGTCAGTCAGCGTGCACATTTTCCTTGCACCTGGTATCCGCGACCGATGTGTTTGTCGTGGACTGGTGATACGCTGATGGCAGCATGCACGACATCATCATCTTCGATGCTTTTGGAGGCGTGGGTGCGTTGTGACTTGCGTCGGTGTTGGACCAGCCGCTTCTTTGCTTCCTTCTCACGAAACTCCAGCTTCTTTTGCTGTGTCTCCGTCAGCCTGTCGATTATATAAGTTGTGTGTGTGTTCGAGTGCGGGCAAGCGTTTGTGCACGTGTGTGCGTGTGTGTGTGTGTGCGGGTGTGAGCATTGAAACGAGCAAATCCAACACCCCCCCCCACACACACACATAGGGGTGCTGGTGCTTCTGAGTACCTGTCGCGAAGGGACGGCGTTGTGTTGAGCTGCGCAAGGTCTTCATGCGCGTTTGTCAGCAAGTACGCGAAATCCTGAGTCGTTGGCTCTGCTTCTGCATGAGATGTTGCTGGCGCGATCGTTGGCGCCGTGGCTACAGCTGTGTCCCAGAGCTTGAGCATTGCCCATGAGCGGTTGAGCAAAGCCAGCGCCACGCATTGTTGCTGATCTTGCTTGTGTGTGCCACCCCCGAGGTCTCGGATGGCCTGACACGGGGTGTGTGTGTGTGTGATGAATAACGATGTCAGTAAGTGGAAGAAGAAGGAGGAAGAGAAGAAGCAGGAAGAGAAACAGGCAAGTAAAGCGATCGGAGCACAAGTGAATCACTTGCAGCCACGAAGACACAAACACAGGCACATAATGTACAAAGACATTCACACACACACTGTCACACACACACACTGTCTCATCCACACACACTGTCTCATCCACACACACACACACACACACACCGTCTCATCCACACACACACACACACACACACACACACACACACATTCACTCACTCACGAAAGAGTAGAGGGTGGTTGCCAGTGCATAGTCGCCTTGTTTGAACGCATCATTGCCCAGCTTCCGCACAGCGTCAGGACCACCAACAGCACCGCTGCCGTCCTTTTCCTTCTTGTTCATCGTCTCCTCCGCTTCCTCCAAAGGCAAATTTGACCTCTGCCTAAAGGCAATTTTGCCCTCCAGTTCCCATGAGCGAGTGCGCAATTTCCCCTCTCTTTGTTTGTCCTGCCGTCGCCACAACACACGCACAAGCACCGCGACCTCATATCCTACAGCCACCTCCCTCCACTCTCTCCACCTCTCTTGCACACACAGATACAGATGACGCTGAGTGCGCAGGACCGGCGACGGTCCCTGATTGTGTTGGGCGTGTTCTGGTTCTTCACGGGCGTGGAGTATGCGGTGATTTTGCCGTCGGCATGGCAGTACCTGCAGAATCTGGGTGCGGAGCACAAGATCTGGCTGTCCATCTCCATCTCGTCCTTCTCCTTTGCCAACTTCCTGTTCTCGCCGCTGTACGGCCGGTTTGCGGACCGGTACTCCACAAAGACCATCCTCATCGTGTCCAACTTCTTCGAGCTGGTTGGCAACCTGCTCTACCTCATCGCCAACGACGTCTACACCAACGTGGAGTCGCGCTTCATCGCCGGCATGGGCGCGGCGGCGGGCTCGGCCATCTTCGCCTACGTCGGTCGCGTCTCCGAGACCCCGGCCGACCTTAACAGGAACATGGGCGCCATCATGACGGCGCGTGCCATCGGTCTCATCCTCGGGCCGGCCTTCAACTTCCTCCTGGTCAAGATCGACTGGCGCGTGGGCCAGTACAAGATTGACCCGTACAACAGCCCCGGCCTGCTCATGACCATCATCTGGCTCATCTGCCAGGTCATCGTCGTCAAGTACTTCAAGGACATCCCCAAGGCGGACGTGCAGGAGCTGCGCGTGGGCTCAAGCAGCGGCGACAAGGCGGAGGCAGACGTGGAGGCCTCCGCCACTACCGACCAGCAGCCGCAGCGTGTTGCCGGCGCCCACGGTGGTGAGAGCAGCACTGACCCCGCACACAGCGACAACGACGAGGATCCGCTCATCCCCACGGGCGAGGACGACACGCCAAAGTGCAGCGAATTCCTCGGCCTGGGCGTCATTGCGCTGCTGCTGGTGCAGTTCCTCAACATGTTCAACCAGACGGCATATGAGACGTTCATCACGCCCTTTACCCAGAACGTGTTCCACTGGAACCAGGTGGCCAACTCCATTGTGTACATGATCACCGCCTTTGTCGCCATCGCCGTCTACATCATCATCAGCAAACTCCAGTGCGTGTATTGTGTGTGTGTGTGTGCTTGTTTGTATTGTGTGTATTGTGTGTATTTGTGTGTTTGTATTCTGTATTGTGCGTGTATTGTGCGTGTATTGTGTGTTTGTGTGTGTTTGTGTGTGTGTGTATTCTGTATTGTGTGGGTGTGTGTATTGTGCACACATGTGTTATGTACAATTGTGTTGCGTACAATTGTGTTGCACGTGCCTTGTTTGTATGCGTCCTCTTTGTGTCTGCCATATTCCCCCCCCCCCCTTTTTTTCGTGCGCAAGCTGCGTGTGCGTGTGCCGGTGTGTTTCCCACCCACCACGATTCTGTGTCTTCAATCCATCGCTCATTCGGCGCCATGCACCAATCCACCCCCCCCCTCCATTCATGCCAGGCCCAAATACGGCATTCTGGACCGCACGGAGATCCTGGTTGGCGTTGTGCTGCAGCTGTTTGGCTTCATCATCTTCTGGTTGCTCCCTGCTCACAACGCAGGCCAGCTGTGGAAGTTTGCGCTCGGCTCGGTCGTGTTCGTTGGCGGCCTCCCCTTTGTCTACATTGCTCCCGCCCTCCAGGCCAAGCTCACCACCATGCGCACACAGGTAGCGATGTGTGAGTGTGGTGTGTGTGTGTGAGTGTGTGTGTGGTGTGTGTGTGTGAGTGTGTGTGTGGTGTGTGTGTGTGTGTGTGTGTGTGTGTGTGTGTGTGTGTGTGTGTGATTGCCACGCTACCGTCATCCTGATGATCACCGCCATTCTCACCACCATCACCATCACCTTCTTCTCCACCACCACCACCACCACCACCCGTCCTCTCCACCATGTCAGGGTCTTGGTCAGGGCATCCGCCGGTCGGTGATGAGCGCTGCGCAGATCATTGGACCGCTGTGGGCCACGCTCTCTGGCGACGACAACGGCGCATACTTCTGGGGCGGCATGGTTGGCCTCACTGCCCTGTGCGTTGTCATCATGGTCCTGGCCTGGAAGGCGCTCTACTTCCCCATGATGGCGAAACCAAAGGCGCCGCCCTCGCCGCCCAAGGGGTCCGGTGTCCTCACGGAGGCGACGCACGACAGGGAGGACCGCGAGGATAGGCCCCTGCTTGCCTCGTCACGCACCAGCAGCGTGCGCAGTGAGGATGACGCAATGCTCCGCCCGGGATCGTTTAGGGAGGACCCCAAGGGTGGCATTGTTCGCCACCACGGCAGCATCAACTGATCCCAAGCACGCAAGCACAAGATTTGCTTCTGCTGCTTCGTGCGCGCATGTGTGTGCGTGTGTTTGTATTTGTGTGCGTGATTGTGTGTGTTTGTATTTGTGTATGTGATTGTGTGTGTGCTTGTGTTTGTGTGTGTGTGTGTGTGCTTGTACGTGTGTGTGTGCTTGTTGTATTCGTTGTTTTGCCTCATTCGCGTCGGCATCTTGTGCAACAACTTTCATCTGCGTGTTTCGTTGGTTGCGAGTGCTGACTTTTGTTTGATCGACCCTTCTTCCCCTCGCCATCACTGTTGGGGTTTGCCCTTTACTCGCTCTCTGCTCTCTCTCTCTCCTCCCCCCCCTCTCTCGCTTGCTCTTACCCCGACCTAGCTCGTTCCCTGTCGCATTTCCACCACTCACTGCCACCAGCAGCGTGGTTCAACCGTTAGGCGCTTGCATGCTTGCTTTGTTCTCTGTTGCCGTGTTGCAGTCAATGTCTCCGCTCCCCAGTGCACTTGTGAACTGCGACGTTGCTTTCTTCTCGACCATTTGGTTTTGCCGTTTTGCTTCATGTGCTACGATACAAGTACAAGAATGCTATCTTCATGCATCTTCGATCTGTTGCACAATCGTGTCACTGTATCTCCAATCCAAGTGACACCACACCAGCCGTGTTAACACACACACACACACACACACACACACGCACACACACACACACACACACACACACACTCTCTCTCTCTCTGTCGCGTGTCCTCTTGCACACCACCGGCTCTGTCACGCGCTGCTGCTGCTTGTCTCTGTCTTGGGCGCCTTGGCTGCCGGCTCACCATCACGATCATCACCATCACCACCATCACCATCACGATCATCACCATCATCATGATCAGCAGCATCAGCGTTGGGTGGTGCTGTGTCGTATGCGGCGTCTGGCGGGAGCGGGAATGAGATGCACACCATCCGTTTGTTGGGTCCCACATCACGCACGTCCCGGAACAAAATCGGCTGCAGCAGAGGCATTGGAGGAGGTGGTGATGGGTGAGTGGGGTGAAGAAGGGTGGCTGGGGTGCAGTGCAGGGGCAACAACAACAACAACAACAGCAACAGCAGTGGCAACAGCAGTGGCAGCAGCAGCAGCAACGACGACGACGACAGTTGCTTTGATTATCCGACGGCACAAGTCATTGATTTGCGCGCACCTCCTGCAGCGGGTGTCCGATTCGCTCCTCAATGCGGGAAATCACATCCGCTCGCCGGTCCTCTGCCTGCAGGCAAACACAACACCAACTGACTTGAACAATTGAAACGTTGCGATTTCGCAGTGCGTATCGTACACGCACATGCACAGATGTGCACCCACATATGCATATACACACAAACAGACACACACAGACACACAGACATACATAGACACACACACACACATGCACAAACACGACAAACACACCATACAGACAAATATGCACACATTTGCGCACAAGCGTGGCGTACGGTTGAGAAGCAGTGGCAGTGGATGGTCGGGAGTGGGAGGCGGCGGTGCGTGTCTGCGGTGTACGCGCCACGGAACACGTCCGTAAACTCAATGGAGGAGGCAGGCAGGTTCATCGTCACATGCGTGAAGGGCCGCCATTGCTGAAGAACACCAGCAGGCGTGGTGGTGAATGTGAGCGGATACCAACACGAACAGCGGATGATGAAATGGCAATTGCGCACGTGTGCCTGTGAGTGTGTGTATGCATGTGTGTGTGTGTGTGTGTGTTCATGTGTTTGGTTGCTCACCTTGTCGCCATCAGGTGCTTCGAGCACCTTGGCAATGACGTGTCTATCAACCAAATGAAAAGCCCGAGGGGGGGGGCTTAACGTGAGCCTCAACAAATAGACAGCGACTGTTACATACATCCCACACACACAACACACACACACACACACACATCTACACACACACACACACACACACATACACACACACATACACACACATGCACACACGCAAGCACACACGCAAGCACGCGCGCATACATCGCACACACCTGACAAAGTCGCGCGCGTCCATGTTGAAGGGGAAGACGCGGCGGGCGAGCTTGTTGATGGCAATGTTGTGCACCAGCGCCTCATATGACATGGGGTTGAGGTCGTTTGCATATGCCATGCAGCCGCGTTTCCCCGCGGGGAGAGCAAACGGCCCCACGCCAGCCATCATGTCGCACAGCACGTCGCCCTTCTTCATCTTGGACACGATGCGCTCGTGTTCCTTTTGCAGCCGCGAGTTCCAGTACACGCGCGAAAAGTCAAACTCAAACCAGCAGCCGTTCTCCTTGACACGGCAGGCGTAGTCGTCGTCCCCGGCAAGCAGCTCCATCTTGAAGAAGCGGAACGTGGTGTCGATGGCGTTGAGCTTGTTCACCACCGTGCGCAGCCGCGTGTTCTTGTCCAGGATGACCTGCCCAATGAAGTGCTTGTAAGGCAGCTGGTGCTCCCGCAGGTTCATGTGTGCCAGGTGCCCGACCGTTTCGAAGGACGTGGTCACCTCGTCAAAGCTCTCCGGCAGCGCCGCCTTGAGCACGTGCTCCGCCGACCAGTAGTCGTAGCCGACCGTCACCGTGAATTGCTCCAACTGGCGCGTGACGTTGTGTGTGTGTGTGTGTGTGTGTGTGTGTGTGTGTGTGTGTGTGTGTGTGTGTGTGTGTGTGTGTGTGTGTAGAATCAAATAAACGCCAAACATTGAGATGCATCGGGCACTTTACAGACCCAGGTAGGTGGTGAACGTACAAACATGGACGACACGCGCGCACACACACACACACGTGTACAGCATGTAGACACATATGTACAAACACACAGACAAGCACACACGCAGATAGACGATGCGCGTGTTCTTTGCCTCACCTGTGGGACAGGTTGATCCTTGAAGACGGGCGCGAGTGCTTGGCGAATCTCTTGCTCGGTCTTTGTGGGGCTGAACAGCACATACCGCTCTGCGATCGTCTTTGCCACTGTTGATGAGCTGCTCTCTTCTCCCGTCTCTGCTGCTCCCATTTTCCCCACATCGCCTTCTTCATTGTGTTGTTGTTGTTGTTGTTGTTGTTGTTGTTGTTGTTGGGCAGGGGGAGAGGGAACGCCCTGCACAGCAGCGTAGCGTGGAAGGCGAAGCAGCAGCGCAGAGCATGCGCGCATTATTGTCTGCACCAGCGCCGCGCTCACACGCACACATGGCACCGACACGCGCACGTCAAACAGCTTGCGATCAAAGTTGCGCGGGTTTGCCAAGAAATGCGACGAGTCCAGTTTGCCCAGCGTCAACGTATCCTGCGACATGGCTCTATGTGTGTGTGTGTATGTATGTGTGTGTATGTGTGTGTGTGTGTGTGTGTGAGTGTGTGTGTGTGTGTTTGAGGAGTGCACTGTCTGTTGTATCGTCTGTCTCTTGATCAACGTGGGTTTGGCTTTCTGCTGAGTCAGCAGTTTCCGCCATCGACCAATACCACAACCCAAGACAGCAAGAAGCAAGCAGCAGACGTCAACTCAACGTCGAACACACACACACACACACACACACACACACACACACACACACACACACACACACACACACACACACACACACACACACAGCCGACACACACTCACGCAGCCGACACACATCGACGATGACAGACGACTACACGCCGTTGTTGTCGCCACAAACGGCAACGGAGAGCACAACAGTTGGAGCGACGGCGCCGGCGTTTCGCAGGAAATGGCTGACGGTGGCGCTGCTGGTTGGCATCAACCTTCTCAACTACCTCGATCGCTTCACCATCAGCGGCATCCTGCCAAACCTCAAGGACGCAAGCGAGTCACACCTCGACCATGACGTCTCCGACAGCCAGGGCGGTCTCCTCATGACCGTCTTCATCGCCAGGTGTGATTGTGTTTGTATGTGTTTATGTGAGTGAGTGTGTGTGTGCGTTGACACATGTGTGTGTGTGTGTGTGTGCGTTGACACGTGTGTGTATTTGTTTATGTGTGTGTATGCGTGTGGTTACATGTGTGTGTGTGCGTGTGCGTGTGCGTGTGCGTGTGCGTGTGCGTGTGCGTGTGTGTATGCGAGTTTGTCTTTGTGTTGGTGCCCAAGGAGGTGTTCGTTTGTTCGGGTTCCAAGCTCCGCTGACTCCGCATGCGTGTGATGAACACTCCCATTGACATCTCCGTTCCTTTTCTTCTGCGCGGCTGTTGTGTTCTTCAGCTACATGGTGTTCTCCCCGGTTTTCGGGTACCTTGGCGACCGTTTCAACCGCAAGATCCTCATCACTGTGGGTATCATCTTCTGGTCCATCTTCACTGTCGGCGGCTCCTTCTCCCAGGTACACGCCGGTTAGGATCCCATGCCTGCGGGCCATGATTGTGTGCGTGCGTGCGTGTACATGTGTGCTTGTGCTTGTGTGTGTGTGTGTGTGATCTGATACCATTCACTTGAACCGCGATGTGAATGTCTTGGATCGCGTTGCTCGCCATGCACACACACACACACACACCCTCGCTCACATACGCTCTGTCATTGTCATGATCGCGGCAACAACTGCAATGGCAGACGTATGTGCAACTGCTCATTGCACGCGGTCTGGTGGGTGTTGGGGAGGCCAGCTATGCCACCATCGCCCCAACAATCATCGCAGACCTCTACCCGGCCGTGAGTGCAAATCAGCGTGTGCATGTGTTCTTATTTGCTTGTTTGCTCGCGAGCGTGCGATTGCGTGTCCTTGCTTGCTTGCTTGTGTTTGCGTGTTGAGGCCATTGTTGCTGACCGAAGTGATGCGATGGCAACCGGAGCTCTGCTTTCTCGTTGCATCTTGCTCACACGCATTTTGCCTGCATGCACGTGTGCAGGACGAGCGCACCTTTATGCTGTCGGTCTTCTACCTGGCCATCCCCGTTGGCGCGTGAGTTGCCGTGATGTCATTCCATCTCTTCACACAGACACAGACACAGACACAGACACACACACACAGACACAGACACAGACACACACACACACACACACACACAGACACAGACACACACACACAGACACAGACACACACACAGACACACACACACACACACACAGACACACACACAGACACAGAAAGACACACATTTCCCCTTGTTCCGGCTCACCGCACTGCGTCCATCCCCGACGCTTCTGTCGCTAGGGCTATGGGTTTCATGGTTGGCGCTGAGGTTGCTGCTGCCCTGGGCAGCTGGCGCTGGGCTCTTCGCATCTCCCCTCCAAGTGAGCACCCCATCAGTTTACTATTTCCTCATATCGGCCTTTTGCATGGCACACATTTTTGCTGCATCAAGTGCACACACACATACACACACACACACACACACACACACACACACACACACACACACACACACACACACACACACACACACACACACACACACGCACGCACACACCCCGCCATGTGGCTGCAGTTGGGCTGGCGCTGGCCCTTGCGCTGTTCTTCTTCACGCGCGATCCACCACGTGGCGCCAGCGACGGGCACGCACACGAAGATGGTAAGGTCCCATGTCCTGTCGGTTCGCTGAACGAGCGAATTGCAAATCACCCCGGCCTGCCACCACCTCACACATCATCATCATCCTCACATCATTTTTCACCACCATGAACACCACCACCACGTGCATGACGTGCAGCCAAGAACAGCGCCAGCGGGCTGGAGGCGTTTCTTGACGATGTGCGCGGCATTCTTCGCGTCCCGACGTTCATCTGGTCCACGCTCGGCTTCACCGCCGTCACCTTCACCTCGGGCGCCATGGCCCAGTGGGCGCCCACGTTTGTGTATCGCCAGGCGCACGAGGCCGGCAGCAGCATGAGCTCGGCAACGGCGGCGCTCGCTTTCGGTGCCGTCACGTGCGCTGCTGGCATCATCGGCACCCTGGGCGGATCCTGGCTCTCAAAGGTTGGCGCGCGCGCATGTGTGTGTGTGTGTGCGTGTGTGCGTGCTTGTGTTTGTGTGTGTGTGTGTTTGTGTGTGTGTGTGTTTGTGTGTGTGTGTTTGTGTGTGTGTGTTTGTGTGTGTGTGTTTGTGTGTGTGTGCTTTTGCATCAGCGCACATTTTCATGCCTGCTTGTGTTTGTCTCACGCCCCACTACATCACCACCACTCGTCTCACACAACCGCCGCCGCTTGCACCACCACCACCGCTTGCACCACCACCACCACCACCACCGCAGCGGTACGCGCCGCGAACGGGTGCGATTGACTCGTACATCTGCGGCGTGGGGATGCTGCTTGCCGTGTTCTTCATGGGCATCTCCATCCCCATCGCATCATACAGTATGCCCCTCTTCTGGCTCACAATCGTCCTCGGAGAGGTGCGCTCGAACACATGTGTTTGTGTGTGTGTTTGTGAGTGTGTGTGTGTGTGTGTTTGTGAGTGTGTGTGTGTGTGTGTGTGTGCTCGCATGTACGTGCGTTTACATGACTACCCTTGTCAATTCACATTCAACCCCTGCCACATATTCCCCCCCCCCCTGTGCAGATTGCGCTGTGCCTCAACTGGGCGCCGTCTGCCGCCATCACCCTCTACGTCATCGTCCCGCAGCGCGTGCGTTTGTGTTGTGATGCATGATGAGCTGTCTTGCATCTTCTTACACTTCTCTCCGAATGACGGCTTTTGTCGCACTCACGTGCTCATATCGCCAACACCACTGCCGTCACCACAGCGCGCCTCTGCTGAGGCCGTCAACATCCTGATGACTCATCTCCTCGGCGACGCGTTCAGCCCGTACCTCATTGGCCTGGTCAGTCACCGAGCTTGTGGCGGGGTTGCTGTTGTTGATGGCGATGATGGTGTTGATGGTGATGAACATGGTGGTGGTGAGGATGTGCCGTTGTCGTTGCCGCTGTTGTCGTTGTTTGCAGCAGTTCGGACCGGAATTGACACGTCAGAAATACCTTTGGCTGAAACTTGTGTCATTTGTAATGGTGCTGATGATATCAGGTGTCGGACACGCTGAAGAAGCATTACAACATGACAGCCGTACGTGCACACACACACACATACACACACACACATGTTGGTGTTTCTTCGGGCTCGCTTGCGCAGTTGTGTGTGCGTTGGTACCTCGACACATGCAATGTTACACCCTCACACCCACATCCACGTACACTCACGAACATACGCCTCACACACACACACTCACGCCCTCCCCCCTCCCCCTCCTCAGGGCGATGCACTGATGCTGTCGCTGTTCATCGCCGTCGTCGTTGCGCTTCTCGGCGCTGCGGCATATCTCCGCTCGAGCAAGACCGTGCAGCGAGACAAGTGAGCACGCATGACTGCTGCCTTTGGCGCACATGCTTGCGTACGGTTGTTGGCACAGAGTTGACATGCAAGTTTGCACGTGCACCAACTCACCACACACACACACACACACACACACACACACACACACACACACACACACACACACACACACACACACACACACACACACAAGCAAAGCAAACAATCAACCACCACCACCATCGCCACCGAACATCAGCGTGGGTACGGGTGCCGCCCGTAAGTGCCCGGTGGTGCGTGTTGCTGGTGATGGTGGTGATGGAAAGGTGGTGGCGGCGGCTGGTGGTGCTGGTGGTGGTGGTGGGGAGGCGGGAAGGGCTGATGGTGTGTTGGCGCTGGGTGGTGGTGGTGAGCAGTGGGCGGCTCACGAAGCAGCCCATCGCTGGGCTGACGGGGAGGCGGATGGTGTGGCGGATGATGGCCTTCGTAGTCGCGGTGCGGTGGCGCCTCCATCGCGTGTGCTGCAGGTGGTGCAAAGTGCGGCTGATGGTGCTGATGATACGCTGCTGGCACTGGCAATGGCACGGGTGCTGGTGCTGATGCTGATGCTGGTGGTGGGCGGGTGTCGAATCCGCGCCTCGCACGTGGTGGTGGTCGGCTGGCGGCCTCCTGTCGCTGCTGTTGTCTCTGTTGTTCTTGTTGTCTCTGTTGCTGTTGCTGTCGCTGTTGCTGTTCCTCCCGCTCCTGGCGGCAACAATTCAACGCACGTGCACGTACATGTGATGTTGTTGTTGAGGACGGTGGACAAGCGAGGCTGCAGGATGGGGTGATGCAATGCACTGAAAACACGCACAGAGACACAGGCAAGCACAAGCAGCCACACCCTGCCTGCGTCTGCTCAACACAACAAAGCACGACAAGACCAACCACCTCGCGATCATCACGATCCACCATTATTCCAAATCAGCCACACGCCCGCACCTTCTTCTGCAGCTCGGGGCGTTTGCGGTCGATGGCAGTGACGACGTTGTTTAGCTGTGCCTGCTTGCCCTCGCACTCCTGATGATGATGATTGGTGGTGGTGATGATGGGGAGGATAGTGAATGGGGCGAGGGTACACACAAAACACAGTTCATAAGCAGTCACTCCAAGGCTGTAACGTGTACATACACACATACACATACACACACGCACACGCACATATACATACACTCACACAGACACGCACACACACACACACACACACACAAACAAACAAACAAACAAACAAAGGCAGGCAGGCACGAGCACGTACGGAGAGCAAGCGGCGCGCTGCGTCAATGTGTTTTGTGAGCGTTGCTGTCGTGCCCTTGATGTTGCGCACGAGCAGGTATCTGTCCTCCACCTCCGCCGACAGTCCGCCTTTCGCGCCCGACGCATCATGCAGTATCGTGCAGAATTGTGCATGCAGGCATCGCCATGGTGCACACGGTGATGGTGGTGGCGTTGAGAAGGGGAAGGAGGTGAGAAGCAAGGGGCGGAAACGTGTATGTGTGTGTGTGTGTGTGTGTGTGTGTGTGTGTGTGTGTGTGTGTGTGTGTGTGTGTGTGTGTGTGTGTGTGTGTGTGTGTGCGTGAGTATGTGTGGTGCATGAGTTTGAAGGATGAGCTTACAACACCTTCGAGTCCCCTCCCTCTCCCGCCAACGCACCTTGGAGCTTTGCGAGCGATGTCCCTGCCTGTTGTATCGCCGACAGCATGTCTTGCCCCGCTGCCTTGTCTGCACGTGCGTGCGTGTGCGTGTGCGTGTACGCATGTGTATTTGTAAGGGCTGTTGTCCGGGTGTCAGTGCAAAGTGATCAAAGAGAATCAACAGGTGCTTTCCACACTTCACCACGGCCGTCACATTGCAGCCGCTTGAATACCGTGAACGGAGAGCGGCGCGTCACCCGAGAAAAAGTGTTTTGGAATCTCTGCATCACAACCAATCACGCAACAGTGACTTAGTCGTGTCAAAGGTTGTAAATATGCAGAGCACATCACTAAAATGGCAGGCACACACACACACACACACACGCACACACACACACACACACACACACACACACACACACACACGCACGCGCACAAGCGCACTGGCAGACACAAAGGTAAACTGATACACAGATCACAAAGGTAGATCACCGCGCAGATGGATGGACACACGCACAGGAACACGTCGGGCACGAGAAAAGTCACACGTGCACAGGGTACAGAGCACTGACTTGCGACTTGCTGTTCCAGATCTGACATGGCGGTGCTGTTCATATCGTCCAGTACCTTCAACACATCCTTCGCCTGCAGAAAAGACAAACAAGGGGGTAAGTCCATGCAAAACGCATGGGCGAACCACACACACACACACACACACACACACACACACACACACATGCACACACGCACACGCACATACACACATACACACAACACGCACACACACACACACATACACATACACATTCACACACGTATTGTATACACACATACACACACACGCACACACACACACACGCACGCACACACACATACATACATACATACACACACGTACCGATGCACTGTGTGCTCGCTTCGCCTTGCCGTCACTTGAGCCACTGATGCCCTTTGCACCACTACTTGACGGAGCAGACGATGAAGACTCTGCCAAGCGCACACATCACACAAGCAGCCACAAGGGGCAGTCAGTCCACAAGCAGGATGCCTTTGCTGGTCAAGCCATGGCATGAAGCCTCCCTCGTTTCAACACACACACACACACACACATGCAACTGACTCAGAATGGACTCAAACTCGTCCAGGTAATCCTTGTCGTAGAGGTTGCGCTCCCGCCAGATGCCTAAGATCCTCAGCACACCTTTCTTCTCGGATCCACTGCCGTTACTGCCGTGATGCGAGACATGGATTGGGGGAATGCAGAACAGTGAGCGCAGTGCAACGCAGCACACGCATGACATCAAAGACAGCTGGCTGACGTGCAAGCTCACCTAGCCAGCAGCTTTGCTGCGTTGATTGCCGCGCTCCCGAGTTTGGGCACGTAGCTGGGAGCCTTTTGTCGAGCAAGGTGCACAACGTGGTTTGCCAGGTAGAACAGGGGCAGCCTCTTTCCAGGCGCAGCTGTGAAACACAACATGTCAAGCAGTCGGTGGTGAGCATGCAGCTGGAGGTGGCTCATGGTCCGTACGCGCACACATGAGGCATGGCGCAGATGAAGCACAGCGACTAGCACGGAAACGGAAACACACGTACGCACACACACACATACACACAGAGAGATACAGAGACAGATACGCACGCACGCACACACACGCGCGCACGCACACACACGCGCGCGCACACACACTCAAACACACACACACACACACACACACACACACACACACACACACACACACACACACACACACACACACACACACACACACACACACACACACACACAGGTACCTGCTTTGACGGCATCACGCCAGGCTGCGACACACTGGTCAACAGCGTCCTTGTGGTGCAGGAACCAGAGCGAGACCGTTTCCACGCTCTGCTGGCTCGCGCTGAGCACCTTCAGCTTCTGCAAGCAGCGTTGGCGAACGTCGCTCATGTTGAACAACAGGTTACAACAGCATAAATTCACGGCTGAGTCACAAGCAACAGCGGAGTTGCTTTGGAGGACAACTGCACACACCACAGCAGCGCAGCGGGTCGTGTGTGTGTGACTGCGTGTCAGCTCCACTCGCAGCGCGTCCACGTCCGTCCACAGACCAGCCATCCATCAAAGAAGTGTTATAGATCACCCTTCGACGCGCTACCTCGCTTCACCATGTCCTCGTCATCCTCTGAAGGCGAGGAAGAGGACTTTGGCCAGCAGGTGTCCCTCACAGGCCAGATCAGGTATGTGTGTGTGCGCGCGCTTGTGTGTGTGTGTGTGCGCGCGCTTGTGTGTGTGAGAGAGAGTGTGTGTGTGCGTGCGTGTGTGCTTGTGTGTGTGTGTGCTTGTGTGCGCGCGCGTGTTTGTGTGCTTGTGTGTGTCTGTGGGTGTGAGCGTCGCAGTGGTCTTGGCGCATGCACAGCCACCTGGGCTGCCGATCCGTTCACCGCAACTTCGATTGTCTTATGAGTTGATTACCCGCCCCCCCAAACGTCGCTTGTTCCACAGGCAAATCCTGTGCGACTATCCTGAAGGCACCAGTGTCATCAAAGAGCTCATCCAAAACGCCGACGATGCTGAAGCCACATGTGCGTACTAGCTTCCATCCCGAGAGGCGCGCTTGCCTGCATGTGTACATTTGTGTTTGCGTGCGTGCTTGCATTCCTTGTTCACCAGGATGCTTTGTGAGGTGTTACAAAGTGGCTATGCTCACCTAACCCAGCTTGACTCAAGATGACATTCTCATTGACTCAATCCCCTCTCATGCCATGTTCCCTACACTCTTCGCCTCATCGCACACACACGCACACACACACACACACACACACACACACACACACACACACACACACACACACACACACACACACACACACACAGGCGTGCGGATCGCGTTGGATAAGAGGCAGTTTGGAACCGAGAAGCTGCGGTTCCCAGACACAGGCAAGTTCCAAGGGCCAGCCCTCCTCTGCTACAACGACTCGGTCTTCTCAGACGAAGATTTCACAAGGTGAGAACGCACATTCGTGCGCACTATTATGGATTGTTCGCTTGTGATCCTGTGCTCTTGTCCAGCGTCATGCACACAACGCCAGCGCTTTTCTCAAACAACACACACGCACACGCACGCACACACACACACACACATACACACACACACACACACACACACACACACACACACACACACACGCACACACACACACACACCTCGCGCACCGATTGGTGATGTACGTTTCTCACGTAACCCACACTTGCATTCACCTCTCCTTACCCCACACCTTCATGTGTTTGCATTCAGCATCAAGAACATCTGCCGCAGCAGCAAGCAGGCCGACACGACCAAAGTTGGCCGCTTTGGGCTCGGCTTCAACTCTGTGTATCACATCACAGACCTGCCGTCCTTCGTCAGCCGCAACTATTACGTTGTCTTCGACCCCCACAAATCCTCTCTCGGCACGGAGGGGCGCAGAGTGAAGGTGAGCCCGCGAATAATGTGTTGTGTGCTTGCATGAGCTTGCGTTAAACCTGCGTTACCTTGTGCGTTGTGGTGTGTGGGCGTGCGAGTGTGTATCGTGTGGTGTTCGGCATGTATATCAATGTGAGTGCATTTTGTGTGCGTGCGTGCTTGCATGCTGCGCGCGTCGTCTCGCTTCACGCAGCCACACTCCTTGTGCCGCGTGCTCCGGCGTCAACTGCCCGTTTGTTCCTCCTCCCTTCCCCTAACCCCACATTCACGTATTCTTCTTCTCCCCCTTTCTCTCTCTCTCACCACCACCACCACCACCACCACCACAGTTCACGTCCAAGCATGAGCGCGACGGCAAGTACGAGGACACATGGGCGACAATGCGCGCCTTTGGATGCACCATGACTGCGGACTTCAAAGGAACCCTGTTCCGCCTTCCCCTGCGCACAGCAGCGAGCGAGCTGTCGTCGTCCTGCCACACCATCGACTCCATGCTCTCGCTGCTCGACACCCTGGCCGCGGAGGCGCCGCACATGCTACTGTTTCTCCGACACGTGCGAGAGCTGCACGTGTCCATCATCACAGAAGCTGGGGATCAGGTGCCCCTGTACAACTGCAGCGTTGACGGGCGCCCGCTGCCCATTCCACCGCACACCAAAGCTGCCAGGTCACTCGTCGACAGCCGGCGCCTCATGTCCACCATCCCGTCCCCGCTCCCCTCGGACGCAGCCGCTGCCGCCACCTTGAGGGCTGCCCTGCTGGCACACGTGCGGTTTGAGTGGACGGACGAGCGCTATGACGACAAGGCAGGACGGGCCGTGACCACGTGCCATCTGGTGGTGCAGGGTCTTGGTACTGGTGAGTCGCTCGACCTTGCAAATTCACCAAACAACAGCGTCAACGCATCGCTGGTGCCGTTTGCTGGCGTTGCTCTCCGCCTCACAAGCGGCCATGGCGATGATGATGATGATGATGATTGTGGGAAAGGTGGCGGTAATGGTGGTCGCGGTGATGCTAGTGATGATGATGGCACGAAGATGGCCGCAATCACGAAGAAGAAGAAGCAGCAGCGGGGGTGGTTCCGGTCCAGCAGCACCAGCACATCCATGGAGGAAGTGATACGGCTCCTCGCACATCCATGCGCGAGCAATGGTCATGCCTATGTGTTTCTCCCTCTGCCCGTCGCCACCTCGCTTCCCATCCACGTGAACGGCTTCTTCCAGATTTCGTCCAACCGCCGTGAGATCTTCTATGGCGAGGGCCTCACAGGCGGCGCCCTCGACAAAGCAGGTCCGCATGCTGTCTGTGTGCGTGTGTGTGTGCGTGCGTGTGTGTGTGTAATTGTGTGCGTGTGCGTGTGCACGGTTGTGCATGTATGTGTGTGTGTGTGTGTGTGTGTGTGTGTGTGTGTGTGTGTGTGTGTGTGTGTAGCACACGGTTCCTCCCTTGCACGTGGCACCTTCCCGACTCCAGACACCGCACACACTTACACGTGCTTACACACCGCACACTTTCCCCCACACTTTCCCTCACACACACACACACACACACACACACACACACATACACACACACACACACACACACACACACACACACACACACACACACACACACACACACACACACACACACACACACACACACACACCGCGCATCCTCACGCAATTCCCCCAACCCCCAACTCATTCTCGCCCGCGGATGCATGTTGCAGAGTGGAACCGGGTGCTGCTTGAGGACGGCGTGTGCTCGCTGTTCCTGGACGCGCTGGCCATCATTGCCACTGCGCTGCCGCCGACCAGCACCACCTTCAGTCGCACTCGCTACTTCAGCGTCTGGCCCAACACGCACGCCCTCAAGCCGCCGTGGTCGCTGCTTGCACAGCGCGTGTACACGCAGGCTGCACAGCGCACACTCTTACCAACGGCCACCAAATGGGCGCAGTTGCACAGGGACGAGGTTGTGCTGTTCACGCCGTCACCTACATCGCCAGCAGACGCAATGCTCACGTCGCTGCTGACTCGCGCGTTCCCAGACAACATCTGCATTGTTCCCGAACATGTGCGTGACGGTCTCGTGCATGCAAGCACGGCGAGTGGTGACGCCGACGCTGCCGCTGTTGTATTGGATCCGCGGCATCTGCGCACGCTGCTGCAACAGCACGCCATTCAACCGCCGCCTGCACCACATGAAGCCCACGCCCTGCTCACGTTTCTGCTGCGCCAAGCCACGTGGGGCGTTCGCGACATTGCCAATCTGCCCATCTTCCCGCTCACAACCGGCACCGTTGCCGCTGTGGACCCAGGACACAGGCAGCAATGGTCAACGCACGAGCGCATCATCCTGCTGTCCCCACAACAGCACCACACTCTCTTGGGAACGCCGCTTAGCAACAGCACAAGCAGTGGCGATGTACATGAGCATGTGCATGAGCATCAGCATGAGCAGCAGCAGCCTCACCACCCGCAGTCTGTAGCTCAAGGGTCCGTTGCGAGTGGTGCCACGACTGCCACACTGCAGGCACCAGCGCAGTCGTCATCCGCCGTGGCCATTGTGCATGCCATTGTGAGCAGAGACAGTGATCTGTTTGCTCGACTGAAGACAGACACCGCGGTTGCATGTGGTGAATGCCAGTTGTCGCTGTTGACGCTTGAATCAGCAGCCGCCATCATCAGCGACGTGCTGCATCATCGCACGCCCAACTCTTCCCTGCCCGTTCTTCTGTCGAATGACCGCCATGATCATCACCGTGAGGATGTTGATAGCAATGGCGATGATGATGATGATGATGATGATGACGAGGATGACGATACCAATGTCGAGAAGAATGACAGTCAGGACGGTGACAGCGATGGCGATGAGGACGAGGATGACGACGCGGAATCTGCTGCTTCCTGGTTGGCCAACGTGTGGCGTCTGTTGCTTGACCTCACCGACGCTGCCGATCAGGAGACCAACGGCACAAACGCTAGGAGTCACGCACATCACCACCACCGCCACCACCGCCATCATCAACAGCGTGGTCCAGAGGCAGCAGCGGCTGTCGTTCGCGTCGCAGGCCACCTCAGCCTCATTTTGGACGACGAGGGGAAGGTGGTCACGCCAAACGACACAGCACCCCGTGTGTTCTCCACTTTCAACGGGCTGCACGATGCGTTGGTGAAGGCACTGCGCGCTGCCGGATGCAGCTGTCTGCACCCGCACCTTCAACCCCTCTTCCCGGCTGACGTTGCTGCCCGCGTCCCTTGCCTCGTCCCTCCCACCGCCAACGGCGTTGTTGCTGCGCTTGCATCCACCATCGCCGTGTCCCCCAATCAACCGTCGTCACCACAACCGCCAAGGCTCACGCCGCACGATCGCAGCGTGATTGTGTCTTTCCTCGGATCGGCATCTGCACTGGAACCAGCCAGCCTTGCGAGTCTCAGGCGCTTGCCGCTGTTTCACTTTGTGGAGCAGAAAGCAGCAATGCACCGTGCAGCCTGTGCTGGCGATGGTAACGCAGGTGGAGACGATGATGCGGGTGAGGATGTGGATGACAGTGATGCAACCGACGATGACAGTGGCGGTGATGGTGAGTGTGATGGCGACGACAACAGCAAGCCGGTGGCTCTGTGTGAGCTCCCATCGTCATCATCATCATCATCAACAGCAGCAACAGCATCATCATCATCATCAGCAGCAGCAGCAGCACGTGGTAACAGCGCAGGAGCGGCGAGCACCGCCGTCGATGATGCTGGCGGCGTTAGCATCTTACCAGAGAGTGTGATGGACGACCGCGGTGTGCTGGAGACCGTTCTTCCTGTGCTAAAGCGGCGCCGTTACTTGCACGCACAGCGACGGGAGACACGATGCCTGCTTCACCGCATGCTACAGGTGCCTGAAACGCCCATCCATGCCTTGCTGCTGCATGACACACTGGACTTTCTCTCCAGCGAGCAGCAGCCATCTAGTGGCAAGGCTTCGGCCAGCAGCAGCCTGCAACAGCAGCTGCTTGACACGGCTGCGCGCGCCTGTGCGACGCTGCTCGGTCTCGTCGAGCCCAAACTGTCTGCCAACGCCAACGCCAGCATCGGCAGCAGGCTGATGGTGTCTGCATTCGTGCCGACAAACAGCGGCCGGTTGCAGACGCCGCGTGATTTGTATGATCCCGAGGTCGACGCGTTGCCAGACCTGATTGACACCGCCCAATTCATGCCGCACGCCATTGTGGCAGCGAACCCGCACGCCATGCGCGTGCTGCGGCGATACCTTGGCCTCCAGAAGCAGTTCACCCCAGCTGGCATCATCAAGATTGTGCACTCGCTTGCCCACCCGAGCACAGACGACCCTGCTTCTAGCACCGCGTCATCATCCCCTGAACAGCAGCAGCGGTGGGAGCTGTCCATCAAGCTGGCAAGATACATTGATCAGCAGTGGGCAACCCTGTTTCCGAAGAAAGATACGTTTGTGTGCAAGTTTAAGCGGTTCGTGAGTGGTGGGCTGCCGTCAGCAACGACGTCGTCATCATCGACCGCAGGACAGCGCGCAGTGACCAAGGACGAGTTCTGCAGCATCCTACGCAACGAGCCTTGGATGGCGGCTGTTGTTCCCTGGCATGCGCATGAGGACAGCCATGGTGGTGGCGACGTGCACAACCGCGACGACGACGACGACGACGACGACGACGACGACGACGACGACGAGAGTTCTGGCGCAGGAATGGCAGATGCGTCTGCACTCGACAGTACAGAGGCCAGTGCAAACCCATACACGCGTCTGGGTGTTCCTATGCCCGCCGTGTTCAGAGCAACTGCGGGTGGCGCCAAGGAAGGGTGCAACGACCAATCCAGCGGTGATGATGAAGACCAAGAGAACAGTGGCGCGAGCGCCACCACCATCACCACCACCACCACCACCACCACCACCACCACTACCACGCCTCAACAGCTGTTTCGGCCAGTTGATCTCTGTGATGAATCCGTGCTGCCGCTTGTGTCGCACCGCCGACCCTGTGCCGCCGTGCAGCTGTCAAACCCAACGGTGCTGGACACGCTTGGCCTGCAAACAGTCACTCCCGACGACGTGGCGGAGCAGTTGCTTGCATACAGCACTGTGCTTGGTGAACACCGCCGACAACTTGCACAGCAACCACAGCAACATCAGCAGCCAGAGAAAGGCCAACAAGAGCGGGAGCAAGAACAAGAACAGCAAAATCAGCAGCAAGAGCCCCAGCGAGAGCAGGAGCAACACGCTGATGGCACCGATGTGCGCGACGGATCAACAGCTGCGGCTGAAGTTCAGTGGAGTGTGCAAGCAATGACGACTTGCATCAACAATCACTGTGGTCACATGTATGAGGTGCTGAACAATGACATTGCCGCCAAGGCACCAACGACGCATTCGCCGCCGTGGTTGACAAAGCTGCTGGGGCGACGCGTCGTGTGGTGCGGAACTCGCTTCATGCCACCAACCAAGGTGGCCATGGCGTGTTCGTACGACTTGGCGCCTTACCTCGCTGTCGTGCCCTTTCAATTGTGCCGCTATCAGCGTCTCCTGGATTCGTTGGGCGTCAAAGCGGAGTTTGATACAGCCACGTTTGTGGAGTACCTTCAGGATGTCTGGCGCCGGCAGCACAACAGGCCAGACAACGCACACCTTGCAGATGAAGTGAAGCAACTTGCACGTGACGGAGATGACCAGCACGATGGCGATGATGACAGTGATGACAGTGCCAGCGAAGAGGACGATGAAGACGATGCCGGAGGCATTGCGCGTGATCGTGGCGTGCAGCGCGCTGGTGCCGGCGCTTTGGTGTCACACAGCGTGCAGCCGTTGTCCCCGCAAACGTTGGAGGCGGTGTGCTACGTGCTCCTTCACATTTCCAAAGTGCGTGACGTGGGCAGCGACTTTTGCGTCGCGGTGCCAGACGACCGTGCTGTGATGACAGCAGCCAGCCAGCTCGTCTACAACGACAGCGTCTACAGCCACAACCCATCCGCCTCGTCTCGAGTCGCAGCACTCGCGACGCCAACAACACCAGCAACAACCCCACCCACCGCTTCAGGATTTGACGTGCAAGAGGTTCATCCCAACATCTCCAACACAGTGGCGGCGGTCGTGGGCGTTCGATCCCTCATGTCCTCCGTGCTGGGGAACGACACCTTCACGCCGTACGGGCAGGTGGAGAAGCTGACGGCCCGCCTGCGCAACCTGGTGACCAACTACCCGGACGGCCCCGCCATCTTCAAGGAGCTGCTGCAGAACGCCGACGATGCAGGCGCCACCACCATGACCATCGTCTATTCGCGGCGGCAATACGGCAGCCAGTCGCTCTTCAGCACGGAGATGGGCAGGTGGCAAGGCCCTGCGCTGTACGTGTACAACGATGCGCTGTTTCGGGACCGCGACTTTGAAAACCTGGCCAATCTGGCGCAGAGCAAGAAGAAGGACGACCCGGCCACCACGGGGCGCTTCGGCGTCGGCTTCAACTCCATCTACCACTTCACAGACGTGCCCTTCATCCTCAGCGGCGACGACTTTGTCATTCTTGACCCGCACAAGCGCTACCTCCCACCAGCCATCACCGTGCTTGGGCCGGGCACAAAGATGCGGCTCAAGGGCCGCCCCCTTGTGCAGCGCAACTTTGCCGACCAGTTTGCGCCGTTTGCTGGGCGCCACGATGCTGGTGCGGATCTGTCCAGACAGCGGTTCAGGGGGACCCTGTTCCGGTTTCCGCTGCGCACAGCTGAAGCAGCAGCCGCGAGCGACATCAAGAAGACGCCGTACACACACGAAGATGTGATGAAGCTTCTTGGCGCGTTCCAAGAGCACGTGCGCGACATGCTGCTGTTCATGAACGGGCTGAAGGAGGTGACCGTGTTGCTTGAAGACGCTAGCGGCAACCAGACGCAGCTCTACAGCGCTGCCGTCACGGCCGAGACCATTGTGCGCGGCCCAGCTGATCTGGTTCAGCCAACGTTGTCCACAGCAACGCACCAAGATGCAGGCAGCGTGGAAGACGGGCACGGCGCAGGCGTTGTGCCGGCAACCACCTGTGCTGCGCTCTCTGGCGAGCGCTTGATGGAGATGACATGGGCCCAGATGAAGGCGAGTGCGCGCGCAGACAACATTGCTTTGCCGGAGTTTCTCACCCGCCTTGAATCCTGCACCGACCGCTGCTGCGTGCTGACGCGGCGCATCCAGCTGCGGGTTGGCGATGGCGACCAAGACAATGGCGCTGCTCGAGGGCAAGCTGGTGCCCGTGCTGGTGGTGGTGCCGACGACGAAAGTGAAGCCGCATCCGACTTGCAACACCTGCGTGACATCACGTGGTTGGTGGTTGGCACGGTGGGTGATGGCCGCGCTTTGCAGCGTGCGCGCGAGAGTGACCTCAAGCTCATACCCTGGGCGAGTGTGGCCACACCACTCTCTGTGCTGTTGCAGGCTGCTCAAGTGCCAGAGCATCACACCCAAGGTGGAGGTGGTGGTGGTGGCGGTGCCGACGACGGCGACGATGGCACAGGCAGCAGTCATGATGCTTCCGCTGCCGCAATGTTGTGGTTGGCGCCTGGCTATGGGCAGGAGCATGCGGTGGTGGGGAAGCTGTTTGTGACGCTGCCGCTTCCGGTGTACACACCGCTACCCGTGAACATCAACGGGATGTTTGAAATTTCGGACAACCGCCGCGACCTTTGGTCTGGACGCGACGTCACTGGCGACGGGCGCCAGCGAGTGGTGAGCCCGGCTGGTGTGTTTTGGGGAGGAGGATGTTGTGAAAAACTGTACATGTGTGCATGTGTTCGTGTGTGTGCATGTGTTCGTGTGTGTGTACATGTGTGTGTGCATGTGTTCGTGTGTGTGTGTACATGTGTGTGTGTGCATGTGTTCGTGTGTGTGTGTGTGTGTTCGTGTGTTTCGTGTGCACAACACACACTGTTGTGTTGTGTGTTTCATCTCGCGTTGTAGTATTGTGCTCAACAAATGCTCGGTTGTTTGTCTCTGACATGAGCGTGATTTGTTCTCATGTCAACTTGTGCAAACTCTAACCCACGACGTTTCACCTGCCGTCCCCCAATTGCTAGGAGTGGAATGAGGAGCTGCTGCGGGACACGTGTGCATCTGCGTACGTCCGGCTGATGCAAGTGGCGTTTGCGGCGCTCCAGTGCAATCTCCACTTGACCATCTCCAGTGGTGGTGCGGCTCAGCAGGCACTGCAGGACCGAAACACAGCCCTGACGCGCGTGTACTTCACCCTGTTCCCTCCGCACAAGCCAGAGCCCATGTGGGCCAAGCTCACCGCGTGCGTGCACGAAGCAATGGCCACCAATGCGCTCCTTCCCGTGCTGGATCACCGCGGTGCTGAAGGCAACAACACCGTGAAGGCCTCAGCAGCGACAGCAGCCGACTTGGTTTTGCGCGTGCTCAGCGCCGTGTATTTGCTGCCGGCTGACTGCCCAGTGGAGGTGGTGGCGTGCTTCGACGCTCTTGAGGTCCCAGTTGTGCATGCGCCCGAGGAACTCATTGCCGCGGCTGTCGATGTGCACGGGGAGGACGTGGCGCGGGTGATGACACCTGCACAAACACGGGCGCTTCTGCGTGATGTGGAGCCGCCTGCCATCCAGTCAAAACTCTCATCACAGCAACAGCGGCATCTGCTGGCGTATGTGCTGTCGGATTGGGACTGCGACACCCCACCGGCGCGATTGCGGGCGATGCAGGGCGTGCCGCTGCTGGTGGACGAGGCAGGAGGCGTCAAGCGGTTTGAGGATCCCGAAGACGCACGTGACGGCGATGATGACGCGAGCACGGCCCCGGACGGTGCGGATATGGGACACGACACAGCGGCACAGTTTCTGGTCCTCCTCAACGGGGATTCACGCATGCGTGGGCTGTTTCGTGCGGTGCCCCACCGTGTCGTCGCGAGCTGGTGTAACGATGTAGGCATTGCCTGGTTCTTCGAGCGCATTTCGGAGCTGGAGCTGTTTGACGCGCGCGTGCTGTCGCTGCACACGGCAGCCTGTCTTGCCTCCACGGTGATGGCGGAAGCGCTGCGGCGTACCCCAAATCCCGCCAGCGATGCCACGAGACGCAATGCGGGAACAACGGCTCACGGCCGTGACCCACACCAACGCCCTTTGTCGTGTGGAGGTGTGCCGATGAAGGACTGGGTGATTGTTTCTCCTGTGCCAGGCCGTGCAGTCGCACAAGGTAATGCACACGGCAGTGTCAGCGGCACACGCTCAGCGCCCGTCCCCGTTGCCACGTGGCTTGATCAGTTTTGGAACGTCATGTCGACAATTGCCCAAAGGGAGCGCGGAACACAGCGGCAGCAGCAGCCGGAGCGTGTGCTGCCACGCTTGGTTCGGGAGCTGGCTGGCTGCACGATTGTGCCCTGCAGCGATGGATGCATGCGTGCCCTTGACGCGCGAGAATCACCAGTGGTGCTATCCATGCCATACCTCTTGGACAGGGCCGCAGTGCGCGTCCTCACAGACACACTGGGCTGCACGACGCCGCACACGGCTGCTGCGAGCACCATTCGCTCCTTGACGGCAACATATGACCACCGACTTCCACGTCAGCAGCACCGGCATTCACAGCAGCCAGAACCGCAGTGGCCGCTTTCTGGGATTCACCCGGGGACCGTCAGCGGGGTCGCCGTTGCCCTGCTGCACGCCACGAGGCAGCGAGCAGCCAGACACGAGGGTGATGAGAGCACAACGGCTCCGTTGGCGCCTGTGTTTGCCCGCGCCAATGTGTCCGATGCGGACCGCACGTGCGTGATGCAGGCGTTTGCCCGTCACACGCAGGCCCTGAGCGATGACGCTTGCACAGCTCTCAAGCAGCTGCCCCTGTTCATGCTCGCAAACCGAGCGCACACTTGCAGTGGTGTACACACTCCCAGCAGCACCGCACCAACCGCACCAGTAACCGGCACAGCAGAGCCTCAGGTTGCTGCCCCTGCAGTGGCCCCATCTGCAGCAGCGACAAGGTCACAGCCGCCGGTAACATCCGGGGCGCGCACAACAGCAGTGGGCCGGACTGGATCAGCGCCGTTATCGGCACGGTCCCGCGTTGGACCTGACGGTGGTGGTGGTGTTGAACGTGAACTCGTGTCCACGTCGGCCTCGCATGCACGTGCCGACAGCACACTGCGCCCCTCGTATGCGTCCGCTGCAGCGAAAACCCAGGAGCAAACACAATGCCACCCACGTGCGTTCTGTACATTGCAGGATAAGACGGCGCGTGTTGCCCCAAGTGGCACCGCGGACGTACAGGACCTGTGTGACGACTCGCTCATTGCGTGCCATGATGAGAGCACACGGTCGTTGCTGCAAAAACTGGGCTGCACCATGCTTGACCACGAGTCGTTTGTCGAGCACATGTTCGGCACCACGTACGGCGCGCTGCCAACCAGCGACCGCTTGCGTGTTCTCAGCTTTGCCATCACCCGTACCACGAGTGCCGCTGCCTCGAAGAACTGGCTGGCACGAGTCCTGAACGAATGCCCAAGTGCCGACGAAGAAGGTGGCGCTGCGGGCGAGGGTGGTGTCATGGCGGGGCGCGTGCCCAATGGGGCCGGCGTTTTGTTTCGGTTGAACGAGCTGCACGACCCGCGGTGCACAGCGGAGGTGCGGACGCTGCTGGGAGGCGATCATCTCTTCCCACATCCCTCGTTGCGTGCGTCGGACGAGGTGCTGGACGCGCTTTACGATGCTGGTCTGAAGAAGAAGCCAGACTGTGCGACCATCATGTTTGCGTGTGCAGAGCTGAGGCAACAGCGCGCTCGCAATGACAGCGCCGCAGACGCCGAGAGTGACCACGCAGGCGCAGCTGACGCTGGACGCGCTGGCAGTGGCCCTGGCGCTGAGGCCTCCAATGATGAGGGTGGGCAGGATGGTGTACAGAGCACGAGCGCCACCCGCCCAGCTAACCTGCGCGACTTGTGGCCCCGAGAGACGATGCTGCTGCGCCTGTTGAACGAGCGCATGAGCGAGTACATGGCACAGGCAAAGAGCAACAAGTGCGAGCGAGAGTTTAAGTCTGAGCTGCTCACGACGCCGTGCATTCCCGTGCTGAGCATGCCACCGCTCCCACACCTTCCGTGGAAATCTGACAGCGACGACAGCCATGCAGCCGATACCACCATTGGTGTGGTGAGTGCCACTGGTGATAGGAATCCTCTCAATGATGCTGCTGATGACGACGATGGTGATGACGACGATGATGGTGGTGATGAACACGGGACACAGGGCAGTGAGGGATCGCATCCGTACATGTCATCGTGTGCGACACCCGAGCAGTGTCGGAACCGAGATGCAGCGTGGGTGCTGGGCGGTTCGTTTCTCATCTCCGCCATTCAGCTGAAGCCCGATGTGGCCCGCACGTTTGGCTGGGAGAATGAACAGCTTCCCTTTGACATCATCTGTCGCCAGCTGTGTGGGCTCAGGGCATTTGTGCACGCGCACACGTGGCAACGCCTGCAGCCGCAAGGTGAGCGGCGAGAAGATGATACTCGCATCTCTGACAACCGCGGTGACACGGCTAACACCAGCATCGAACGACGCCAACACGCCACCGGTCCGACCACGGCCAGCATGCTCCCGCCATACCTTGCCGTTGAGCGTGATCCCGATGACGCGGTGCTGGGGTGTGTTGGCGCCGCGTGTGTGCAGCTTTACGCAGCCCTGCTCTCGCATCCGCTCGACCGCTACAAGGCCGATCTCTGGGAGGAGCTTGTGTGGACTGGGTTTGGGTTTGTTCCACACACGCGTGTGTACCAGGGAGACGCGCCCTTTCCTGTTGAGCCGTATGCATTCACTGCTGCTGCTGTTAGCAAGGCATTGCAGGATTCTGTCCCTGCTGTGGAGCAGTTGGTGACACGGGCGCACGACGACGGGCTTGGGATGTGTGCACCTGATGCCACAACAACGGTGGCGGCGCTGCGTCGTTCACAGGTGACGGAGCACCTGCCGCGCATGTTCCACTTTGCGCGCGAGTTCAATGTCAGCACCTGTACGGCTGCATTGGAGGCCATGCGGGGTGAGCTTGCAGCCGAGTCCGCACAGCAGGCGGGCACCAGCACATGCACGCGCCTGGCGGCCGCTTATGGGCGCGACTTTCGTCACTCGCGTGATGTTGTGCGGCAGGTCGATGACACGGTGCCGGGCACCTGTCTCAGTGGTGCACGACGGGCTTTGGCCATTAGGCTTGTGCGTCACGCGGTTTCGCTGTGTGACGGCGTAGCGCAGTCTGTGCCCACAACGCTGCTGGCTGTGACCATGCGTGGATCCCTGGTGCCGGCCAACGAGCTTGTTTATGACCATCACCTTCTCCAGTCAAGGCATAGCGATGGTGACAGCGACGACACCGATGATGCCGATGACGGTGCCGATGACGGTGCCGATGACGACACTGGCGGTGTAACCAGTGCCATCGGCGAGCAACAAACAGCGCCGTCAACAGTGGCAGCTGCTGGCTCACGGCATGTTGGCGGTGGTGCGACGTCCTCGATGGCGTTTTTGTGCGAGGAGCTGCTGGATGTTGCCACCGAGCTGGGTGTGCCATCGCTGCAGGAGTTCATCAACGCCACGTCTGCCGTGATGACGCTGCATCACTTGAGCAGTCTGCCGCATGTGCTGGCGTCCGATGATGCCAGCGGTGTGGACGTGGCTGTGCCGCCGGCACTTGCAGGGCTCCTTGACATAGCCGATGCCATTGGGGAGCAAAACATCAAGCTGTTCTTTGACACGACACATTATCCCGCGCAACACATGCTGCAGCCAAGCTTTTCGCAGGGCCAGGGCCCATCGCTGGTGGTGGTGTTGCCGCGCCCGTTAAGCCGCCGCGATGTGGAGAACATCATCAATCCACGCGTGGCGCACAGCGTGAGTGGCATCTTCAAGCACCCACCAGAGTGTGGCGGTCTGTGGAGCTCAATGGCGGTGGCGCAGATGGTGGCCGTCCTCTCGGGCAACTCGCTGCACGTCGTGGGGCCCTTGGCTGACGACGAGCGCGCACGCTTCTCGTCATCAGATGCCGCAGCCATGCCACCGTTCCATCGGGAGCCAGTCGAGGGGCGTGTGTACGACTTTGTAACCAGTCCGCTTCTTGTGTCGCGCTTCAGAGATCAGTTTACACCATTTGCGCCCTTTGGATTCGACCCCAACGGCGGTGATGGTGCTGGTGGAGATGCCAGTGCAGATGACTCGAACAGAAACCCCAGCAACAATGGTGGTGCGCATGGGCTTGCCCCCTTTGATGGCACCATCATTCGGCTGCCGTTGTTGGAGGAGTACCGGGAGTGTGCAGAGGGGTGGATGAGTCAACTCCGTGATGTGGCAAGCTGTCTCATGTGCAGGTTCATGCACCTGCGCCAGCTGACGTGCTGCCGTCACTTGGGCGGTTCCCAGGAGCAGTTGTTGTTCAGTGCCTCTGCAATGACGCTTGCCGAAGGCAGCACGAGCAATCCACGCGCGAAGCTGCTGCAGGACAGCCGGGCACAGCTTGGCCAGCGGACGAGCGGTGTCACGGGGCTCTTCACCCGCGCCGTCAACCTCCAGCAGCGCTACAAGGTTATCGTGAACGTGATTGTGCGGCAGCCGCAGCCAACAAGCAGCGAGCTTGCCCATGCCCCAAGTGGACAACATCAGGTGCACGCCGCCCACGCTGTGTCGCAGCAGGCCCAGTCGCAAGATGTGCTTGTGGAGCAGCAGGGGCTGGCGCAGCCCGGCGCGGAACAGGCTTCGCCGCCTCGACGACGACGGGCCGCTTCGGCAAGTCGCCATTTGACGGTGCGACACAGCTGGGAGGTGTTGGATACGGTTGCACTCGGCGACTGCAAGAGCGAGGGCTTGATGACCTACATGCAGCAAACGGGGGCGCTTCCTCGCGCTGCTGTTGCGCTGCTCACCCACGCCACCGTCGACAACGGTGGCCGTGGTGGCAACAAACGGCCTGCCGTTGGCAGCGAGCGCATGTGTACGATTGGTGGCGAACGGGGCCTGCTGCTGTCGCGTCGGCTGGATGCAGTGACGCTGCCAGTGCCGGCGCTGCTATCTGGTGCCTTTACTGCGGTGACGCTGAGCGACTTCGTG